TTGCCTTGAATTTACTTTAAGTATACCAATCATTTCAATTTTACTTGTTATCCAATTTATTTTGCTTCGACCAGACGTTTTAATCTTTGTGGCAAACAGACAAACATTTGAGAATTTCAGACATGGCATTACTTTGTGAATTTATACATTAGGTTCTTCTTTTTCACAAAAATATGCAACTTAATTATTAAACAACGAGCACATACCAAGAACATGGAGAAAAAATTGATTTATGTTTCGTATATTCAACTGTAATCGAGAAAGATTTCCAATGCTGATTGACTGTTAACATCATTTGGCGGCATCTTTGATGTGCAGAATCAACATTCAACTTGTATTGACCAATGTCATATATCTAATAGGTAAACTATGGCACTGAAATCAATAATATTGAATTGGAAGGATATTATCAATTGTAACTAACGATTATTTAAGAATTCAAACAAAAGTTCTAGTCACTTTTTAAAAAAAACAACTAAAGAATACTGAAGGTCAAGATAAAATGTGTATGCAACAGAATCTAGAAGAGCAATTTTTTTTCATGAAATGAAATGGTAGATAGTATTTTTTTTATATTTCAGTAAAGCTGTGTTTGAAATTAGGCTTATTATCTAATTATCAAATCAAGTTATTTGTGCTTCAATCCTAATTTTACTTTTACAGCTAGCTGTTTTTATGAAGCAAAATGTCATTGTTTCAGTTTGTGCACATACTTCAGGCTGTCCAGCGTCCCTAAAATTCCTAAAAAATCCTAATTTTTTTCAGTTTGGCTAAAATTCCTAAAAAAAATGAAAAATTCAAAGGGAATTCCTAAAAATGCCCTATTTTTTCACTTAAATTCCTATTTTTTTATCCTTTGTGATAAACATATCCAGAAACAACCATGTTTCAATCACAACCTAAATTCAAACGCAGACAGTGGAGTTGATATCATGTCTGACTAAATTGCATAAGTGACATGTTGCATATACTTCAATTCCTGCAGAAATACCATACTTGATGTCAGATGTTATCAGAAAAATAATAAGAAACTGTTTGTTTTAAATGGAACAATGAAAATTGTACCACTTTGACTATATCAAAATAGTCACTTGTTTAAAATTGTGATAAAAAATTTCCAAGGAAGTCATATTTTTATTGGCTACAGAGTTTTACCATTTACCTCAGTCTTAGGTGTATTTAAAGCAACTATTTACACAAATCACCACTAAATTTCACCAGACTTTATGCAGGGGTCCTTATTAATAAGGTCTTAATTTGTAATCAAGTTATTTTCAAGTGATGACTGTAGAACAGATCTTATGTAAGTGATACCAGCTGGCAGATCTAGACAAGTTTCCATATTTGCTACGGTAATTATAAAATGGGTAAGGTAAACTGGCAGTAATGATTGAATGCTTTAACCATTTTGCTACCCAATTAGCATACTAAGAAGTGACACCTTCAGCTGCCCTTTTTGTACACATTAACATGTATTGAACACATGTTATATACATGTAGTGTAAGTTTTTTTAAAATCTGGAAAAAAAACTGTTGAGTTCGAACATGGGTAATCTCGGGTGGAAAACTAGGTCACAGGAGCTAAAAATAGAAAAACCTTGCGAACAGTCTAGTGGTCACATTTTTGACCCAATCATCATCAAACTTTGTCAGAATGCTTGTCTAGTTGATGCTTGGATAAGTTTGAAGATGATTTATCTCGGATGGAAAACTAGGTCACAGGAGCTAAAAATAGAAAAACCTTGTGAACACTCTAGTGTCACATTTTTGACTCAATTATCATCAAACTTGGTCAGGATGCTTGTCTAGGTAATTGCTCGAATGTCAAGCTCGAATATGGGTCACCTGGGGTCAAAAACTAGGTCACACTGCTCAAATATGGATAATCCTTGTTAACACTAGTGGTCACATTTTTGACACACCTGTCATGAAACTTGGTCAGAACGCTTGTCTAGGTAATTGTTCGGATGAGTTTGACGGGTCAGGTGAGCGATCTAGGGCCATCTTGGCCCTCTTGTTTACCTAATCATGATCAAACTTTGTCAGGATGCTTGTCTAGTGGATGCTTGGATAAGTTTGAACATGATTTATCTCGGATGGAAAACTAGGTCACAGGAGCTAAAAATAGAAAAACCTTGTGAACACTCTAGTGGTCACATTTTTGACCCAATCATTATCAAACTTTGTCAGGGTGCTTGTCTAGTTAATTGCTCGGATGAGTTCGAACATGGGTCATCTTGGATGAAAAACTAGGTCACAGGAGCTAAAAAAAGAAAAATCTTGTTAACACTCTGGCGGTCACATTTTTGACGCAAGTGTCATCAAACTTGATCAGGATGCTTGTCTAGGTACTTGCTCGGATGAGTTTAAACATGGGTCATCTCGGATGAAAAACTAGGTCACAGGAGCTAAAAATAGAAAAATCTTGTTAACACTATAGTGGTCACAATTTTGACTCAATTGTCATCAAATTTGGTCAGGATGCTTGTCTAGGTAATTGCTTGGATGAGTTCGAAATCGCATGTGAAACTAGGTCAACGGAGCTAAAAATAGAAAAATCTTGTTAACACTCTAGTTGCTACTGTTTTGATCCAAGTATCCTGGAAATTGGTCTGAAAGTTTGTTTTGATGATTTCTAGGTCAAGTTTGAATATGGGTCACCTGGGTAAAAACTAGGTCACACTGCCATACAAATATGGATAATCCTTGTTAACACTGTAGTGGTCACATTTTTGACTCACCTGTCATGAACCTTGGTCAGAATGCTTGTCTAGGTAATTGTTCGGATGAGTTTGATGGGTCAGGTGAGCGATCTAGGGCCATCATGGCCCTCTTGTATTTTATTATTAGACGCCGCGTGCACTCGAAGTCTAGTAGATATGCATTTGTCCGTACAGCAATGGGGAAATTTTAGACTTGATTTTGTGTATTTTTTTTTTATTTTAACAAAATCACACTGTTTTCAAATTTGCTAATAAAAATAGCTTTTCTGATGAATAACATGTCTCAGAGCTTTAAGGGATTAGAATAAAGGTTAAACTGAAGTGATAGTGCCATGTTTGAATATCATATTCTTTTTATCATTATCTAATTTTATCTACATAATAAATTACGTGCTAATGAGCCAGTCTATAGTCGATACCGTTGAGAGAGGTAACAACTGAGGCAGTGTCACTCACTTCATTTGCTCTGCCTCTGTTGAAGTTCGGTTCCGCCTTAAATTGTCGCCAAATTCAATATGAATCTCAGTGTGCTAGCATTTAGTCTTCATTGACGGAGCGGAAGGGAACCAGAACAACTTTGATCATTATCACTTGTCGAATCATGAAATTACAAGTTACAAAGCATAAACCACGCTCACTTTCAGAGAGGCGGTTCTCCCCCAACCATTAAGAAAGTACGCCAATCTCTGCGCACCGGTTACGCTACGGCCAATAAGGGGAGATCACAGCAGAACAGTTTCGTCCTCAAAAGCATTCGGACATTATGCAATTTGTACCAATATTTAATGGACATATTTCTCGGCACATATTGCCCTTGAATTTTACTTTAAGTATACCAATCATTTTCAATTTTTACTTGTTATCCAATTTATTTTGCTTCGACCAGACGTTTTAATCTTTGTGGCAAACAGACAAACATTTGAGAATTTCAGACATGGCATTACTTTGTGAATTTATACATTAGGTTCTTCTTTTTCACAAAAATATGCAACTTAATTATTAAACAACGAGCACATACCAAGAACATGGAGAAAAAATTTATTTATGTTTCGGATATTCAACTGTAATCGAGAAAGATTTCCAATGCTGATTGACTGTTAACATCATTTGGCGGCATCTTTGATGTGCAGAATCAACATTCAACTTGTATTGACCAATGTCATATATCTAATAGGTAAACTATGGCACTGAAATCAATAATATTGAATTGGAAGGATATTATCAATTGTAACTAACGATTATTTAAGAATACAAACAAAAGTTCTAGTCACTTTTTAAAAAAAACAACCAAAGATTACTGTAGGTCAAGATAAAAGGTGCATACATGCAACAGAATCTAGAAGAGCAATTTTTTTTCATGAAATGAAATGGTAGATAGTATTTTTTTTTTATATTTCAGTAAAGCTGTGTTTGAAATTAGGCTTATTATCTAATTATCAAATCAAGTTATTTGTGCTTCAATCCTAATTTTACTTTTACAGCTAGCTGTTTTTATGAAGCAAAATGTCATTGTTTCAGTTTGTGCACATACTAAGTTACTTGTGTTCAGCGGGCCGATTATGATAATCAGTTATCGACCCCAGGCCGCAAGCTGATAATCAGTCACATGACACTCATAATCAGTTGAAGTCATAGGCTATTTTGTTACTATATATTTTGTTACTATATATAGTAACAAGTGAATTAATAATTGTTTTTAATAAATCATTTTGGTGCTTATTGTTGTTATCATAGTTGTTGATAATTTTATTTTTCCAAATAGCCCTTGTTTTTGTGTAATGGATAAAGTTTGCCTTTGCCCAGTATTGAATTTTGAACTGTCAGATTGAATTTTTAATTAAGGGACTCATTCATATTAAACATTATGACATTGCATGTTTGTAACATCACTTTTCATTGGATAATCATGATGTTTATAAAGATTTATATATACATTGTACACAGCTGCTGTAAATTTTTGAAGAAATCTCACTTTTTTTTCTCTGAAAACATTATAAATTCATTATAGATATTTCTGACAGGTTATATGGCCATATATAAATGGTTGTTTGCAATATAACACTCACCTAGTGGCTTGGGTTATATTTCCAAATAAAGTTTATATAGGGCCATATTACTTGTCAAAAATCTTTATAACTAATAAAGTACAAACTGATCAGACTGCACATATGTGTAGAAGACTAACCTGGCTCTATACAGATGACAATTTCACAAAGGCTTTAAAACTTTTGGTTTAGAATCTTAGAAGTTAATAAGTTCATTTGTATATTTTGACAGGTTAACACCACAGAAACCAGCATTACTCTCTTAGCTTCATCATACAATGAAAATGAATTGGAATTTTTCAAGAAATTAGTAAGTCTTCACTTGTATATACATGTAGTAACTGAAGTATTGAAAAGAATTTAAGTTAATGAATTTAATTTTTGCTCATAACAGTTGAGAGGTATATGCTGTAGTTTTTTTTTAATTTTGTAAACCCTTTTTTTATGGGTTTTCAAAAAATATAACAATTTTAAAAACTTAAAAAATGATGCCAGTTTTTTTCGGGTTTTTAAATTTTTGTGGGACAAATTTTTTAGCTTTTTAGCTTAAAGTATTATTAGTAGATATATGGATGCTGTTAAAAAGGTACTATGCTCATATTTGGTAAAATACTTTTATTGCAGAAATTTATTTAAATGTGAGAAATACTGATTATCATATTTTCATATTTGAGCCGTGTCACGACAAAACCAACGTAATCAATGCGACCAGCATGGATCCCGACCAGCCTGCGCATCCGCGCAGTCTGATCAGGATCCATGCTGTTCGCTTACAAACCCTATTACAAGTAGAGAAACTGATAACGAACAGCATGGATCCTGATCAGACTGTGCGGATGCATGTCTGGATCCATGCTGGTCCCAAACGCTTTACGTTGGTTTATATACTGGTAAAAGAATATACAAACTGTGTATGGGAAGCTGCATTTCCTATTATTAGTGAAGCTAATTTTGTCCTTTTCTGGCCTGTTTATTAATGAATGTATGTTTTCATACTGTGTTTATCTACAGTGTGTAGAGATTAAAATGTAACACATATTCTCTGTGTATACTCGAAAGATGTTATTTTACTTTTAAAAAGAGACTGTATAGCAATTATCAGTATTTTCAGATATAAAAATTGAGCAAAATATATCTTTAATATTGATGGGAAAATCCTTTAGTCCCCTAGGCGTAAGTTGCTGTCGTTAACATTGTTGACTTAACTTTATTTACAGATAAGTCAGATTGTATTATCAGACAATGGTTCCATAGGATCTATGGCTGCTGTTAACATTGTTGACAGTTTAACAAAGAAAATGTCCAAAAGTGACGCAGAATATCTATTGGAAAGATTGATAAGAGATAGATGGATTGGAAAGGTAACGAATCTATGTGACTTTAAATATCTATTTAACATGTTGTATGATAATAGGATTAAGATTGTAATATCTAGATCTGGAACTTGTTTTTCATTTGAGTGGATTTTACTCGAATAGAATCTCACGAGTTTCACTTGCACCGCCGAGAGTGATCTGTTCTAGTAAAATCCATGAGAGCCAAGTACAAGTAACAGATCAAGGTACGCCTAAGGTAATACTTTGATTATATACCATGTTAAATTTAAACTATATATTCAATGGTCACATAATTGGCATAACGCCAGCAAAACTATTCTGGTTCACACTTGAATGTGATTCAACTATCTTTTTTTTTCCAGTTGAGTCATATTTGTGCATATAGAAAAAAGTGCAGGCATATAATAAATGTTTTTTTTTTTAAAATACATATTGATTTTCCAGAAAATCAATTTCTGAGATTTGAACCATTTTGCAGCATTTATTCGCCCCATCCTTATGGACTTTGTGTCCAATTATCCATAAATTTGTCATTTATGTGCAAGATCTAGGTCTGTAGCTGTATAGTCAAGGTCACACTTTGACTTCAAAGCAAAGTTTTTCACTAAAAAAAATGTCAGAACTGAGAGTATATGTGTTCACTTATGCAGAATTTTGTTTTAAGTTTATGTAATAATATTTAGAAATATTTTTAAAAAATCAAGTTGTGTGACATTGGTTTGCTGTTGGAGCACCTCAGACAATTTGCATTGTCATTCAATGAAAGCTGTGAAACAAGGTTGTCCTTGTCTGATAAGATTATATATTATTAATTAAGTTTGTATTTGTTGTTGTAGTCAGAAAATGGTTCATGTGTACATTGGCACCAGAGGTGTCTTGGAACTAGAGCAGTATATACTAGAAATGTTTGAAACTGCAGTGAGGTGTAATATGTGCAAGAAACTGTGTGTTCAGGTAACCATGTATTCTTTTTAAAGATATCTTTATCAGGCCATTCTTGATTTTTATACTTGTGTGCAACCTTAACTATCTATAAGAAGAGCTGTGGAAGATAGGCATTTGTTTTGTTCATCAATAAAGAACAATTAATTTAAGGGCAAAATTTTAAAAAATAAAACCGAGAAGATTGATTTTGTAGTAAGTCGGGTATGTATCTGAAAAACTAGCAATTTTTAAGGATGTCTTGATTATCGTTTCTTTAATATTCTTTACATATATATGTTTGAATTAATTTCAGTATTTTTTTAAAATAACAACAGTTTTTCAAATTTAATCGATAAGTTAAAACATAATGTTTAAAAAATTTTGGAAATGTTCATTTTCTGTTTTTAAAAATTTTTTTTATCAAAAATTGGGGAAAAACTTTCCGGAGCTCCCAAAATTTTTTTGGGTTTCCCGTTTTTAAAAAAAGGGCATTTCAGTATGTCAGTAATTTTCTCTATGAAGTATTTTCCTTAATGCTTAAGGGAGTATTAAAATTTGGTTTTAAAAATATAAAAAATGTTTTTGGGAAAATTTTTTTTTTGCTTTTGGGTGTAATGGCAAGGGGTGCATTTAGTTTTTAAAAAGGATAATAATAAGTAAAGAAATAAATATTACCCTTTTCAGTTTTTTTTTTCCAAAAAAAGGAAATAAAACTTCATGTGATACTTTAAAAAATGATGCCATATAAACCACTAGGTATTGATCACTCTGTTCTTTTATATTTTAATTTTGTTAAGTTTGACAAAGTCTTGGTGCTATGTATCATCCGTCTTAATATTTAGAAATGTATACACTAAGGGGAGACAAATAGTTTATCTTAAACAGACTATATTGATGATTGGATTACTTCCCTTTTATGAAAAGATTTCAGGTTTGATTTATGAAATACAGACTAATAAAATAAATATATAGGGTTTTTTTGATAAAAATTATTTGCAGGGTGAAAGTTGCAGCAATTGTGAAGTTAAAGATACATTATCATTGTGCTTCTAAATTCTTTAAAGATGGCTCCATGATGAAATGTCCGGAGTGTCAAAAACCATGGACAAGTATGTACTTTACTTATTTGTCACTATTAAATTTATTTGTGTAATTCTGCCTCATTTCTTTAATATTATAGTATTTGTCATTATCATGAATAACCTCTGTAGAGTAATGCTCTTTTCTGGCAAAACTATTAATACTTGTTTGGAGCCTCCATGGCGAAGTAGCTAAGGCTGCCGACTTCATTTCACATGCCCCTGATGGCTGTTGGTTCAAATCGCATCTGGAACTTTAAAGGTTTCATGTGAGAAAGCTATTCATCTAGCTTATAGAAGTTCATTGGTTCTACTCAGATGCCCTCTTTTGCCTGAAATAATACTCCTTAGTTGTTCCTCCGCCAATCAAGCTGGAAAATTGCAATATAACCTACATAGCACCTGTGTGTATAAAAAAAAGCTCGGCAAAACAATCAAAGACAAACAATTGTTGTTGTCTTTTTTATGTGTAAATACTCTTCTGTAAACAACTCCTCAGACTTTGTTCAAGGGATTTGATCCTTGGTTTAAGCATGAAAAAAAAACATGAGCTATTTGTTGTAAAGATGGTGATCCTTAGTCCATATTCATAGCACTGTATTACCTGGTTACATCATCTGGAATTACAGGTACTAGATATATGGTCAGAAACATCCTTGTCTGTTTCTCCATCCAGTTACTGAATATCAAAGGCTGTTGGCTCTTCAGTGGTCAGTCTAGTCAAAACTAGAAATAAAATCCTTGAAATGGCTACTAATCAATTTTAATATAAATAAAGTATGTTCTAAAATTTAATTTATCAAAATTGGAAATTCTTTGATCTCATATAGGAGTAACAAAAGCTTGAAGGTAGATTTAGGGTATCTGTTGCCAAGTGTTTATGTCCCTTACAACCATGTATCCAAATCCAATTAGGGACCTTGTATTCTTTCATGTGAGGAAACTTATAATCCAGCTAGCTTACAGAATATCTATGGTTCTACTCCAGTGTCTATTTGTGTCTGAAATAATCAATGGAGACCTGTGTAAAATAAATAAAAAAAGAAAAACAATTGGTAGACTTAATGGTCAGGTGAGCAATTTCATCAATAATGTCCCTTAATAATGTTTTTTAATATTTTTAACATTGCAGTTACAAGTAATTCTGCATCATCATCATCAGCTGCAGTGGGAGGAGCTTCTACTGAATCATCACCCCCATCATCATCATCAGCAGCAGCATCATCATCACAGTCAAGGAAGAGGAAAGCTAGACATGAATGAAACAAACATTCCTATTAAATGTGTATCCCTGTCATATCCAACAGGCCACAGCAAAACCATCCATCATATTACTTGTAATTGTGTTGGATTGTATGGGTTCTGTGTTGATTAAATTAACTGTGGAGACATTATTAGGTTGACTGTACTGTTGAGTATTGTAATGGTGAGAGACTTTATTAATCACCTCGGCATAAAAAGATTATGTACAGTTACGTATTTTATTCTATTTTCTTAACATACCTAATTAGACCTACTGTCTCTTCAGACAGCCATTGTTGTTAATAAAATTACAGATATACTATGCTCATCCTTGAGTAAAATATTTTTTATCACAAAAATATATTGAAAATGTATGAAAGTACTTTCTAAGTATGTCTAATTTGAATAAAAAAGAGCAAATAAACTATGAATGGGAAGCTGCGTTCCTTTTTGCAGGTTTAGTAAAGTTGACCTTTTCTTAAAAAAACTGACAGTTTTTTTTTATGACACTACATGTATATATTTATATAAATTGTTAAAGTTTAAAGTATAATATATCTACTTTGTGTGAAGTCGAAACATGTTTATTTATATTTATAAAAGGACCATGTAGCAATTATCAAATTTGAGCATAGTATATCTTTAATTGTTTAAATTATCCTGTTAATTTTTGTTTGTTGAGAAGTTGTTACTGATATATAACATGTACATTATAATATTCCTAATTATGATTTTTGACAGGTTATATAGCCCTTTATAATACTGCACGTTTTGTAACGTCATTTTTCATTGGATAATCGTGACGTTTATATAGTTTTATATACACGGCTGCTTATTTTTCCCCCTTTTTTCTTT